TGAATCAATGGAACTCTCTCTATACATGCTGTAGCAATATCATACTAAACCACACTATTAATTATGTTAAATATGCATTTGAGGTCAAATATGTGACAGCAGATTCTGGTCGATTGCAAGATTTGCAAATCATGTGCACTGCCAACTCGTTGTCAACAGATATTTTCCAGATCGTTTCATGTTTTTAATCAAGGTGCTCGCGTGATTTGATGCACTTTGCGATGTAAGACCCGTTTTATAGCAATTTTGATCTTGATCTTTACTTGGCTCCGCCATTTTGTTTAAAATAAATGCAAGTGATACGAGAGGTGGAATCTGATTGATCCATAGGTGGGGCTCAGAAGGGACATAACTCATAACAGCTACGATCAAGCCCAGGAATTCTAGCCTAGTTCAGCAAGGGTGGAAACTGGTCTTTTAAAGTCAGTTAACTGTCTTGCCTCGGGAAGATGGGGTACTACAGATATGTACACCAAGTATGTTTCTGTAAACAGAAATGTACCCTAGCAAGAATCAGAATACAGGACGATACCATAGAATGAATTCATTGCGCGGTTCGCTTAACTGGTTCTTTGACTCTGAACATGCAATGTTTTCTTCAGTTTCAGGATTGGAACTGTTATACTGTTGTAGGTGATGCTTTCCAGCTTGCTATATATTATTAAGCATTAACTGTGATGTCATACAGTACTCCGCGATGCATAGCATTATCCAGCATGCATTCGTTATCAAGCGAAGCAGAACTTCATCATGAACCGGTTTCGGTTTCAGATTGAGGCTTTTGGATTCGTCTGCCGTATACAGTAGAACATGGATATAATGAACACGGATATAGCGAACAAACGGATACAAGGAACTGTTAAAAAATCCCCGATTTATCTCCTATATAATATCATATAAAATTTACGTATAAAACAAACTCTCTACAGCGAACTAACGGATACAGCGAACTGATATCTGATCACCGACAAGCCCATCTATCACTAATTAGTGAGAAATCTCACTCAGTGTCAACTGTCACTGACAATTGGCTGTACGCAATCAGCAGCAAATCAACACAATGGCGGCGAATCAATACAATGAGCGGATCAACCTTGTTAAATTGGCATTGTGTTAATCTTACCTGTACATGTAATCTTACCTGTACATGTAATCTTACCTGTACATGTAATCTTACCTGTACATGTAATCTTACCTGTACATGTAATCTTGTCTGTAAAACAAACATTAAACATATAAATTTTACGAGATTGAATCCAAGTGTCAGTTCAATTGCATATGCTATCATGGCGGGCAATAGTAAGAGGAAAGCTATCAGTTTAGACACGAAATTGAGAATTATTAATGCTGTTGATGCTGGCATAAAAACCAAGAAAGACATTGCAATGGAATTTGACTTCCAAAATCAACATTAAGTACCATTATGAAGAAGAGAGAATCCATTCTTGAATCCTGTGACTCAACTGACTTTGGCCCGCCCGGAAGGGGTTACGAGCTGCAAATCACCAAGACGTAGAGGATGCCCTCTTCAAATGATTTCAAGCCCTGAGATACGAAAACATTCTGCTTAGTGGTTCGTTACTACAGACCAAAGCTGACAATCTTGCAGTGAAATTAGGCCATGAAGATTTCACGTGTAACACTGCAATTACGTATATTGTGTTTTGTCTTATCCAAGATGGCGGACGTGTATAAACGTGTATAACGAACAATGGATATAACAAACTGATTTCTCTGGTCCCTTGTAGTTTGTTATATCCGTCTTCTACTGTACATGATATAGGGTATCGTGCATCGTTCATCTTCTTTATTTTTATTTTGGCCAGGGTACATTTCTGTATACTGAAACGTACCTGGGGTCGTATCTCTAGTACCTCTGCAGACAACGAACCCTTCAGCGACATTGTCATGTTAAGCAATGTTGGTCGCGGAGAGCATTTTGATGGGTGACTGAGAGTTTCTATGGCTTCGGTCCTGTCCCACATGTAGCACATATTTGTCATCTTAGGCGAGTGACTTAATATGATGTAATATGACGCGGCAGTGAATGGGTACCCAGTAGGATGAGATGGTAATCTCTGCTAACCTTCCAGCACCTCACAGGCGGATTGGGTTATGTAGTCCCAAGGTAGCTGAGAATGAAATTTGGGTGCACACTGAGCCATTGACCAAGATAATAATAATTTAGGGTGATCATCCCTCAGCATTCAATCAGCATTCGCATTATAAATGGAATTATTATTATCATTAGTAGTAGTAGTAGTAACAGTAGCAGCAGCAGCAGCAGTAGTAGTTGTGTATAATGCATGCAATCATGAAGGATTATTATTGTAGTCAAATTCAAGTTAGTACATATCCTTACGGTGTGGTATTGTAATAAGGTTTTGAGTGACCGACATGGAAGGTCAAGGTCACTAGAACAGTCATTCATGAAGTAGTTCTGACCCAACCCCCATGTTGAGAAATAATCAAGCATGTGATTGACTGAAATTGAGGGTCAAGGTCATTAAATCAGAAGTATGATATAATTCTCTTATTAAGACAGCTAGTGGCATGGCATTCTCTGCATTGGTTATATTTGCCCAGAGTGAAAGTGATTCAACTGGAAGTTCAGGCTTTAAAGGCATGAGACACATATAAAGCACATGTAACTTTCCTAAAGCACATGTAACTTTCTTGAAGCACATATTACTTTCTTGAAGCACATGTAACTTTCTTGAAGCGCATGTAACTTTCTTAAAGCACATGTAACTTGCTTAAAGCACATATAACTTTGTAAAAGCACATGTAACTTTTGTTAAAGCACATGTAACTTTCTTCACGCACATATAACATTCTTATAGCACATGTAACTTTCTTGAAGCACATATAACTTTCTTGAAGAACATATAACTTTCTTGAAGAACATATAACTTTCTTGAAGCACATAAAACTTTCTTGAAGCACATGTAACTTTCTTATTCAAGTACCTTGAAGCACAGGACTCTCTGTTGTTAAGTGCTTTTGTGAAATGTATTTTCACCAATCAGAAGTGATGTCATTAAAACAGAAGTTCGGGAATGTGGCTTCCAGACATAAGGTTGTGTCTGCTCAGACCAGAAGTCATGTCAATAGGCCAGGCAATATATTAGCTAAAAGCAAGGTATGAGGGGTGTGCAATTATGTTTTGGTATCTTTGACAATATGTATTATAAATATTACTATATTCCCAGTGTAGGGATGTATATGCATTGATACATGAATGAAAGATGTCAATACATTCTCGCCGTTTATAACCAGTTGGTTTCTATGTATGGAGTCACTGAGATTCACCAGTCAATGATTGCAAAAAGAAAAAATCCTGAAACTATGCTATTTCGTAGATGAAAACAAATTTTGACTCACAATAGTCAAATTACAAGAAGTTATTGCTTAATATTATTGTTGTGAGTCATCTTGGTCATGATAACTCTGATTTCTGAATAGGTGGAACAATTATGTAGTGGCAAAGGTATGAATGTGCTCCAGTGACATAGAGATTACTACACAAGTGTCTGTCAGATACCATTTATCTTACAACGACTTGTTTCAAAACATATCTATCGAGGGAAGGCGAGTTAGATACACTTTGAAACGAATTGTAAGATATATGGTATCTGACAGGCATGAGTGGAGTAATCTGTTTCTTACACACCCTAAAATCACACCATTTTAGCATCGATTCAATGCGTTTTGTCCATTCTCATGATTGCAGTGGCACATTAATACAGAACACAACGGTCATTGACGTCACCCGATGTGCTGCTTATTCTCATATATAATGTGACCCTACTCAAAAAGGTTTCCGCCATATCTTTGGATTATCAAGGCGATGATGATAATGCAAACTAGATAAGATCAATGAACCCGCTAGGATGCTGAGTTAATCAGTGACCGACTTTTACAAAATGGCATCTTTATTGACAACAGTACGCAGGATTTTATGAGGGGACTTTTTTTCGATCCGGGATCGTATACATAAATGTGTCATGTACATGATGTAGGTAATCAGAAACATTCTGATTCTGAGTACTGTTATTTGTTTTCATGTTTTTCATTGAAACCAAAAGAATAAGTCGGGAAATGCAGATAACTACTGTTGAGCATGATTTTGTTTCAGTCATGGTGTCACACAGGACAGAATCTTTTATGATTGCTGTTGAATTTACCTGATCATTGTAATGTATACATTTTTCACTCCATAATTCGTGCTGCGATACTCTGCGATTCTCAATAATTCTACAATAAGGAGAGAAGGTGCGTCATAATCTGACCTCAGGTCATCACCATGGAGTAGCCAATCACCTGCCTGGAATTTGATCTCACACATATGTTTGATACCAGTTATCTCAAATGGGTTTCTCACCGACAGGTGTGTAAGGAATTGCATTCTTTGTACATGTTGTAGCAAGTGTAGGGTCTGTAGACAGAAGGTCTTTTCATGATTTATGCTGATGCTTTAAGCAGGGTACAAAATGTCATTGTGGATCTTGTTTTCTATGTTAAAGTGTGGCTAGACATGGGTCAGATGGCAGTCCTCGTCTTTAAAACATTTAATTTTAACTCAGATATTATGATAAAATCAGATCTGGCTGTTAATGACTGTCGTAATTTAGGAGTGACATAGAGACTGCAGTCAAACACTTTTAGACTACCAGTACAAATTCACCACTTGACATCATTTAATCAATGTTTTATCCCTATTTTCATGATATTTGCAAAGTCTACTAGACTTTGGCTTTAGTCAATGGTTCACACTTGACTGAGGGGTCACGAGTTGCCCAGATGTCTTGGGTGCTGCTATTCATAGTGTAGTGTTGTGTCCTGTAGGTATGCTAAGACATGCATAATCATGAACATGTTGTATAACTGAAATTCTGTTCAAATCACTCATTTGACAAGCAGATCGATGGTAATTTATGTTATGGATATGTAGGATTAATAAGTTATAAAGGTAATTATTGAATTCATTTCAATTACAGGAAACAATGCATGCAGATGCAGTGACGACACGTGGAACTGAACGATGTGAGTCACAGCTTTCAACAACGTCAGCGGGCATGGACATCTGTCGGATATGCCACTGTGAAGCCGAGCCCAACAACCCACTTATCTCCCCTTGCCTCTGTTCAGGCAGCCTCAAATTTGTCCACTCGGCATGTTTACAAAAGTGGATCAAAAGCTCAGAGAAAAATGTCTGCGAACTTTGTAAATTCCAGTACATTATGACAACGAAGACTAAACCATTCAAAGAGGTGAGAGTTGTTCTGTGACCTGTCTTGATTTCATTATCTTTATTTGTAGTCATTACACCAAGCACCCAATGTCACAAGTTTCCAGGGGGCACTGGTGGCCCAGTCGTCTAAGGCGCCGCGATTTGCTGTGCAGAGTTGCGTCCCTTTGGCACGCCAGAAACCTATGATTGTGGGTTCGAATCCCAGTTCGCCCCAATTATGTTTCTAGGTTTGTCAGCACCATACCCGTGCTCGTGGGTTTCACTGAAGTGGTAAACGTCTGAGACCTGCATCACTTCGGGCTTTCCTCCCACATTAAGCTGACACGCCGTGATATAACTGGAATACTGTTAAAAGCGGCGTTAAATCCAACTAACTCACTAACACACAAGTTTCCAAATGGTGTCACTTATTATAGACTTCCTATTCAACTTTTCTTTGTCTGGTTTTAGCTTCTGAATGTGAATTCAAAACGCCACAATTGGAAAAGGGAAGAAAAAGTCTCCACATATATATTTTTTAAGGACAATTTTGAATGTTGTTTACAAGCTGAAAATGGTTCCAGGCTTTAACCTGGCTTTATCTATTTTCTAGTCTATGGGACTTTCAGTAATACATTTTGTAATACACGGTTGTCTCAGGCTGGAGACCTGTGGCATGCTTCACTTGTTTCTAAACTTTTACTGATGCTGTGTCATTGGACATACTCAGGAGTATTACGCCTTTCAGAAATGGGAGGGGCGGTCGGGTGGTTCAAGCGTTCGCTCGTCACACCGAAGACCCGGGTTCGATTCCCGACATGGGTACAATGTGTGAAGCCCATTTCTGGTGTCCCCCGCCGTGATATTGCTGGAATATTGCTAATAGCGGCGTAAAACTACACTCACTCGCTCACTCAGAAATGGGAATTTCTATATTAGATTGAAGAAAATCAACCATTAACACTCTGAACATCAACTGTATTTCTTACCAGAAATGAGAATAGAAAGGTCAGTTGTATGTAATATGCAATCTACAATTTGGATAAATTCAAATATTAAAATGATATTATATTATACGCTTTAGTGTCACACAGGACTCAAACTGTAAATGATTTGTGTCTATTCTCGATTTCAGTGTGAAAAACGCTGATTCATATGTCCTATTTGAGTGCCACTCAAACTCTATTTATTGAAGCACATTTGAATTCATCTGACTTGAAGTTTTATTCTTTTGCTTAGTGTTTACTGTACAAAGATCAGTAGCGGTGCATGCTTTGATAACCTTAGATAGTTTAAATAACTTCATGTATCACAAACATGAGCTCCAGATAACTTTTTGAGCAATTTAGTTTTTTCTCAAAGGTTTCTATTTGAATTGGGTTATTACATTTTTCGTTGAATAACCAATATTTTTTCACTCATCTATTCATCACTCTATTGGGTATTTATCAAAATGAGCAAACATTGTGAGATATAAAAAAATGTACTGAAAAAGCTTCATTGGGTATTTGTTCACATTTGAGTTTTCATTCAGTGCTTGCGTTTCTATACACAAGTTAATTGAAAGTAATGGGTTTTTAATTGGGGGTATTTTACGCAAATATGCAGCTCATCTGTAGCTTTGATGTATGATGCCCTGAATACAAAATTAAGTTGCACTTACAAGAAGCTGGTTCCAGGGTTATATGCTGAAAAGTGTGACAATGAATATACTTACCGGTATGTAAAATTGTAACCTTGACATGGAGCAAGACGTTTGATTGGCTGGCTGACAAAACGATTGCTTGATAAATACTGATCAACTGATAAATATATCTTATGTCTCACAAGTCAATAATAATGATAGGGCATTTTATATTGTATCAATTGGTTTACCAAATAAAAGCTTAAAATTCAGTGTGGGTGGTTGAAGTTAACTCAAAGATAAGTACTGTTAGCACTGAATGAAAAAACGAACTTGTTGGACATCACAGAAGTATGATTGCAAAATATAGTTGATTCTTTTTGTTTGTTGCTAGAAAAAAGATTTTATACGTATTATTCATGATTTTTTTAACGGTGCTGATGAAATCTTGTGTTTTTTACGTTCACAAAGTTGTAAAACAAAGTCTGCTAGAATGTTTTGTCAAAAGTCTTTGTCGTTTGATTTCAGGGTTTTTTTGGGTTGAAATCATAAACCAACTAAGAAAATATAAGGCCCAGTAAAAGAAACACCTCTCTATTTATTCCCAACAGGATATGTTCTGAGTGCTGAGGTAATCCTTCCTAAAATGTAAACACATATGTGAAACAGAATCATCTGAGATGTCTTGATGACTTACAGTTGTTTATTTGCCATCTAATCAACTGAAACAAACTTTTAAACAAGAATATTTGCATTACTTTCAGTTCATGTCTTCCTGCTCGGGTCGTGACCCAGGTTTGGCATATAAACTGAGGCAATAACAGAATATTATTAATTTGTGAGGATATAAAACTATTTGAAAATGTGAATATATTACTACTTGGGTCATATGGAGCCTAACATTCCACAATATACTGAGATAAAACAGTGTTCATATTTTGATGTGGCTTGGATCTTTCGGTCCGTACTCCTATGGTATTAGTATCTAGGGATCCCCTAAATCTTTCAGTTCTTTACATTATGGCAAAGGCCCTTTGAAATTTCATACCTAATTTTTCAAGCTATATAAGACTGTTTGATTTAAGTTGTAATAGCTTGAATAGGAAGTATCTTCATGTGGACAACAACCTATGTTGCCATGACAACACAACAAAGCTTTGACTCTTTACTAAAAGTTGTTATTTATACTACAACTAGGATTTGTGTTAGCACATTTCACTCCTTATCTTTATGTACAGTACAAAAGTAGACAATGTTCAATATAACAAACGCTTCCTATTTCTAATTTTGAGAGCGTCCTGGGCGCTTAGTACTTCGAATACGGTAGGGATATGATGTTGCAGCTCACACTCAAATCTTTGGATTCATGTGCAGCGTTCAAAATAAAGGAGAGCTTTGGAAGTTTGATCCTTCATTATCTGAATCTAGTGTTTCCCCTTATTCTTCAACTTTTAACATTAGGACTATCCAGTTATACACTGCAATAGCATTTACCTAGACTAGATATTCTGAACTGATCTCTACTATTAAGGCCCTAACCAATGTCTTATGTTGTTTTTGTAACACCCTGAGTATCTCATTCTCAAATGATGTCAAATCATACAGAATTGAATTGAAGTTTTTAACTGGTCCCAAAAGATGTCTAATTGCGTGACTGTCCATCACAAGACAATCTTCACTCATGCTATGTGAAACATATCCTTGTGTTTACATCAGTAGCCAAGGACATATTTTGTAAGGTTACTCCTTTGTAAATAACCAAAGTGGTACATGAAGGATGTACTTTAGCAACTCGTCCTTGGGATACATAATGACTGGAAGACGTAAGCACCACATGACCTGAATAAGACACAATGCAATTCCCTTTCTGCGCATTACACGATATAACTAAATACAACATTCGAAACTGTTCTCTTATAAAAAGTGAAATAGGACACCATCAGTTGTACAGTTACAGGGGTTTAACTAAACTAACACATTGTCTCTGAAAATATATACCGTATATATTTTGAGAGAAACAAGCAACTACATTAAAATTGAAAGGAGCCCTTGAGACATGGGGGATTCAGAACCTGTGGAAAATCTAGACTTGCTTCATTTCGAGATATAGCATTACAGTAGGGGCTGGACGCAAGGGAAAAGAATATGATTCAGGGACTGAGAGACATGCTAGGATGTACCTGGCTATGGCAGCCATATTGGAAAAGCTGTTTTGTTAAAATGTAATGCAGTTAGGTACATGTATAATTTGTAGTGGGGTTGTGTATTTGTTGTTTTTACCTTGATTTTGCCTTTGCACTTTGACCATACTGAAATCTGTAACTGCCAACATGGCAGCTATATTGAAAACCCTATTTATCTCAGACACTTAGTAGTGGCTCTGCAGACATCATCTCCTCTGAAATAGCTGATGAAGCTGTATGTTCTCCTTAGGATGGTATTTATTTTCAAATCTCTAAACTGTTGACCTACATATGCAGGTGAGCTACAATGCAGACTGCCAGTGGTACTATTTATAAGACAATTACGTATGGAAATAATTTTAATTTAATTTTCAAATATTGAAATAGCATCATTCCTCCATAAATATGCTAACTAATTTTCTGCGTCCCAGAAGATGAATTGTAAAATAATTCTGAATATTAGATGCATAATTGTGTGTCCAGTAAATAAATGACTGCAAATATCTCACTCTTTTGAAAGGTAACACTTCCAGTTGTGCTTCTTTTGGATATATTGAGAAATAATACAGTAAAACAAGACTGTACCATTCTTTGTGAAATTGCCACGATTAACAATTTTCCAGTTTGATGAATAACAGACCTGTCAACCCTCCTGCATTTTGCGGGAGACTCCCACAATTTGATTAAATCTCCCAGTCTCCCGCATGATAGACTATTTCTATCGCATAACAGAATTCTTCATTATTTTAAAAATTTGGGAAGTTTTTCGCCTGATCTGTCCGGTAGGCTCACGGATTAGCGACCGCTATCACAGCCACCCACAGGGTGACCCAGATGGGCCTTTGTCTAGTAATCAACTGGTAATTAAATTCATATGGTGAACGATTTAACAATGTAAACTGTAAGAAAACTTGGATAGTCCTAACAGGTGCCTGAAGGTTGAACTTTAAATGAATAATCAGCCGAGTATTCATCACTTACCGAAATGAACTGTTGTCTTCATGTTCTTAGTGTGTTTATTCCTCCATAATTTAAGAACGAAGGTACATATGACTGGTCCAGTTGTACATGACTTAATTGGTAATCAGATTTGTCAGAAACTTTGTTGAAACATCAATATACCTCAAAGTTACGTTATTAAACTCTCGGAAATGAAAACAAAATATGACCTGCAAGCGCCATCTTCAAAACAACGTGATGCGTGATTGGTTGATTCAGTAGTCGAAATAACGA